AAAATTAACAATTAATCTAAATTAAGGGTTATTTTCTTTAATTTTAATAAGTAAAAAGTTAAAACTTATAAATTTAGTAAAGTAAGAGACTAAAAATATCTTAATATAAAGTGAAGGATTAAAATTTTTAAATTTAATAAAATAAAAAATTAAAAATAAATTTTTACCTCATTTAATAAGTATCAATACCTTTAAACTATCAAATCAAATAAGATCGCGAACTCGGCGGGAAGTCTAATGGTTCGCCCTCAAGTTTTAGGGTTTAGGTGAGGCGGAGGTCAAGATTTTAAGCCTCGCCACCATCGTGAATTTCATCAACTTATAGTCTAATGGCTGCGCGCCTCATTTGAGGGGTGGAATGTTCACCATTCTGAAAATCTCAATAGTTAACAACTAACTTATATTAACTTCCTAATCATTACTCTTATAAAAAAAAATCAAATAAGATCGTACTCATCAGGTGGTGTTATTTATGAACGATGATGGAAGATCGTTGATGAGAGGATACCTGACATTAGGCTCTACCATACCTATGGGAAAATATTGCCGTGGATTTCCTTGCTAAATTAGGACTTAAATTTTGTTCACACTAATCATTACCCTTCATTAAAAAAGTGTTAAAATAGTAAGTGTTAGAACGGACAGTTGCAATCCAGTGACATTAAAATCTTAGATTAAAATTATAGGTTGTAGATTTAATGGAACTCCACCAAGCGGCCTGTTAAGCCGCGTGCTTAGTTGAAGGAAGTAGGGTATTCACAAGTTTTGAAAATTGAATCTCTAATTGTTAACAATTAATAAAAGTAATTTACTAATCACTGCCCTTATCAAAAAAAAAAAAAAGTTGAACATTTAATCTCTTCAAAATTTTTTTCTTTTCCCTTCATCCCTCAATTAATTTATAAATAATTATAATATGTTAAAAAAATAATAAGTGTTAAAATAGTAATATTTTGAAACCGATGGCTCAAACCCAGTGAATTGGATTTAGACCTAAATATTTGGTTTTAGTTGGTTAATAATATAATTTTTATCGATTGGTTGAAAAAAATCCCTCATTTCTGCACTATTCTCCAATGTAAAAAAATAATAATATTTTGAGTTTTATACTCAAATCTTCTTCTATTCTCAAATATTTTCTTGTTCAAAAAAATTTTAATATAAATTTTTTTTATGTTAAATGAGAGCCCTGCTGTGTATATATTTTTTTTATGATTGTATTGAAATATAAATTTTGTGTTCTATTGTAACTACTTAACCATTTATATTAAGGAATTTTTAAAATTAAGACATTTTAATTTTTTAAAAAATATTATAGTTAATAATTTAAATAGTTTAATGATATTTTTTTATAAAAATAATTTAAATTAAATAACATA